ATTATTATTTTCTCAACCTAATTTATATCATAATCATGATCCGTGGAACATTTTTCATTGCATTTACTAATTCAATACAAAACTTAAACCATATATGCAGTAATTTTTGGAAAATCCAATGGTTCATATATTTTGTGAACTTGTAGAAAATTAGTTTTCAATTTGACTGATTGTCATGTATAAAGCTCAACTCGCACGGTATGTGATAATCGAATAGCTGAAAGCCCAATATCGCTTCGCGATAGGCTACAACAAACTAATAACAGCGATATTCGAGAGAGAAAATGGAATATCAGGAGTCTCATCGAAGAAAAAGCAATAAGAAGCCGAGCTGAAAGTTGGTGGAATCTCTCTACATTGCACCCAAATTAATAAATCTTTCTCTGGCAGTCCGTGCAACTCTGACTGAATAAGGTGGGGTGCGCCAGCAAGTCGCGGCTCATAGTGGGAGGAGGTGAGTGCAAACTCGGTGGGGCAATAACCATCGTGTGGCGCTTCCGCGAGCGAAGGAGAGAGAAAGCATCTTCCGTCTCCCTCAGTCGCTGCTTCCTACAAGCCTCGCACGGTTCTCCATTGTTATGCCTTTATTATGAAAGTTTTGTCAGCTGATCGAGCGTTTGTGCCGTTATTTTCTTTTGTTAATTTCTAAGTTGACTTTCGTGTGTATGTGTAATTTCTTTATCTTTAAAAAGCGCGTTACAAGTGAAGCATTTGATTGCACGTAACATATAAATATCATTTGGAATAGTGTTGTGTTGGCACTGATTGGCCTTTTTCAAAATATCTTTCGCTCTATTTAATGAATTTGAAAGAACCTTATAAAATCGAATGAAAATAATCATCGTCTGCATCATTGAATAAAAACAACTCAATTTCAACGTCATCCACTATCGAACATGAAAGGTCTGGTCACAAAATAATCGTACATCCCATAATTCATTAAAGCCAAGGTTGATATATAAAGTGCGTACGAGAGAGAGAGAGAGAAAGAGCTCATGCACCAACGCGTTAACGAATAAAACGAATAGTCACCCACCTCCCCTCCACCCCCGTGCGAAGGTGAAAAAGAGAGAGCGGATGTTGACGAGCGAGGGTGGGGACGACACACGTGGACCTCCCACGTTCTACAGACGGGCATGGAGAGAGAAAAAAAAACGTGCACTTCTACGCCGATGCTTGAATGAAAGCTCCCTTCCTTTCTCGCGCAAGCTTTTTTTTACGACGAGTGCCACGTGGACGCGCGCGCTGCCGGCAAGCTTTGTACCCAAACGTGTTTACATGGATTTTTATTCGGAGCTCCGATTTGGGTGGCTTTTGATCATCGTGTTATTACATGGTTATATGAGGTTTGGTTTCTAGTCAGTTGGCTAAGAGAAATATTATTGTTTAAGTTAGACGCATGTTGGAACTCAATAGAATAGAGAACAACATATTGATTATTCTAGGATGTAGGTATCTTCTTCTGGAATATTATTTTGAATAAACATTCATTAGATATGATTTCCATTATATTAAACAGACGATCACTGATTCTAAAAGAAAAATTTGATAATTTCAATATCGCTTCGAACCTACTCCAAAACAAGTTATATTGATTGCAACCAATCATCAGATGAAAGGTATTTAAACTCCAATATTTGCTTATGAATTTGAATACTTGCATATGACGTAGAGGTGTTACCGCTAGTTCAACAAGTTTAATCGTCGTCATGACGTTTTAATGATAGCTTACTGATCTTTACCACTAGATGACAAAAGCATCTATACTATGTAAAGCTTGTCAATGCATTATATACAGCAAATAATCAGTTCTAATAGTGCTTCGAATTCAAGTTAAAATAAAAATATGAATTAGGTTACTGAGAATAGTGGAACACTAAAATATCTATCAAATGTTCTATATTAATTTTCTATAAACTGATAGCACTTTCATAAAAGTATGGTCTTTATCTTTCTATTTACTTCCAACCCGTTATAGAGCAATTATCCTTTAAAATGACTCCAAATTTCATTTACATCTTTACTATATAGTGGACGTATAATACATTAAACAAATAGATACATATTTGGTAATTTAAGTGCATAGAAGTTTATCAAGGTTATAATTTCTTTCATTTAGCGAAACTATTTTTTGATAAATCTAACGTAAGAAAAAATCCAAATCAAAATACAAATTTACCTATAAATTTAACTATTTCTCTATCTCCCAACCCAATGCAATGATCACTTCTAATTGCACTTTTTTATATCACCCGCGTATAAAATAATACTACTGGCATCTACACGGGGACCCTATATACCAACCAACGAAGCGAGGTGAAGATAACGAGTGTAAAAAGACGATGATAATGACTAAAAAGATGACAAGACAGGTAATCATCTACATGTTAAAGAAGATAGAGACAATTTTTAATAATAAAATTGACACGTTGATACAATTGATAGTGAGAAGTTGAAAAAGGGATTTATATTTAGTGTTTTTTTTGCTTGAACTATCCAAATGGACTAAAAAGAGTAGTAATGATCGAGTTTGCCTAATTTTTTAATAACAACCCAATAAAAATAATAAATTTCTCACCCCACATTGACAGATACAGAATTGCGGGTAGCTGGCTTTCGACAAATTTTCTTAAAGTGGTTCCCGCAGTCTGGACTAAAAATGAAAAAATTGTATCTCTTTCTTTCCACGTTGCGATTGGAGCACTGGTGTATTTTGATTTTGTAGGTCATATCGAAAAACAAAGATATATACATTTAATACACACTTATTTGTTTAACATTCCACTAGTAAGATTCCTAGTCTTTTAAAAAATCAACGTTACTTGGTTATCCGATGTTCGCATGGCAAATTTCCTTTGTCAGTCAGTCAAACAGCTAGACAAGCCGAGAATAATAATAAATGTTATCGTTAAAGAATAAAAAAGAAATGACAAAAGAGTAAAAGAGGAAAATCAATTTTAGGAGCTAAAGCTGCGTAGACAGACAGGGCGCGTGTGTAGGACCGAGGAATAGATAGGAGAATGCGCGCGTTGGCGCGCGTGACGAGCGGTAATTGAACGCAGCTAGCTATGGGCAAGGTACGCTGCTGGTATATATGTACAGCTTGGGCTGCTCGCATTGACAGCTGGCCTGCTGCTGCTGTTGCTGCTGTTGCAGGCTACGGACGCCGCCGGAGATAATTCAAATCTCGTCGATTGCTCGCCGTTGGCCTGCTGCACGCACACACGCGCGCGCGCGCGCGCGCGCGTTCATAGCCTCGTTTGTCAATATATCCACGAGACGATGGGGACGCAACCCTCTCTCTCGCACACATTCAGGCTTCCACTTCATCAGGCTGCTTATACCGCTTAATCATCTTGGGCTTTCTTCTTGCTCGACTGCCTTGTTATCACTCGCGTGCCATTGTTTGAGCATCGCTACCGCGTCGACGCCCTCGCGCACGCATCCGATTAGACGTCGACGTTCAATGCGAACGTATCTGTCGAAGCAAATTTATTCCCTTCGCAATGTAATCGATTCGTTAAATCGCAGACGCGTAAAAATCAGTGGTCATCATTTGCACGTGTGTTGTATACGGCGCCCAATCTTACACGACCGCGAACGCAGTCGAAAACTAATCTCCATTCACGCAGATCAAAAGGATCGCGGAAACATATAAGGTATACGTAACGAATCAATTGAAAACTGAAACGTCATATGGATCAGGATGGGGAGAGAGTAGAGAGGAACGGGAGAGGGGGAGAGAGAGGGAGACTAGCGGCGACTTCGCTTTTGAAAATCAAACAGCGCGTAAGCTCGTCTGCGCGCGCGTATGTCTCTGTTTGCGTCTGGTTCGGCAAATATCGAGTCCGGGGCGCAAAGCTTCCACCTGGTCGAATGTATGTACGCGCGATGCGAAAATGGGGATCACTTTTGGCAAACTATTCGGCTCGCGTATGCCCTTCCCCCGCGAGCACCGACGAGTGCTGCCGAACCTTTTATATTTGAGAAATTGCGGCGAACCTTGTGGTGTTTTTATTTTCATGCTCGCTCAAAGGTTTATTAAGCTTATTGAAGGTATCGTCAGAAGTAACGTATGTATCTGCTTTGAAAAGAACAGTGAGGTAGCTTTTAATTCAATGAGCATATGAATGTTTTTTTTTCTTTCGAGTTGTATCTATATTCTTCAAAAAGTAATATCTCGATTGTCCAATTGAAGCACCAATACAGTCTTTGTTTATCATCGACCATTCGCACTGTTTTTATCGGTCTATTCTAGAGACACTAAAATATAATCTAGCACAAAAGTGGTTTAGTGCTCATTTGTTAACTTTGCATTCTATTGATGAACAATTCGGCATAAATAATTTGTTTAATCTAAAAACATACAAGAAGTTTTTAAATAAACGAAATAAACAAAAATTGACCTATAATATCTACACAACTAAAGTTATTTAAAATACGTTAAAATTAATTTCAACATTTTTCATTTGCCGCCTTTTATTGTCTTTGTAACTTCAAAATACGTCTCTCGTGTCTCTCGTGGCTCTAATTAAAAAGCGTCGCTGTGAAAAAAAGGAAAAACGAGCGGCCGCGTCGCGAGAAAAGACGTACTCCTTTCTACTTTGGTGGCGTTGGAATGAGACAAAGAAGAAGGAGGCGGAGGTAAAAGCTCGGAGCTTGCGAGGCACGCGAGGTCACCGCAGAGTTTGTAGGGGGATAAAAGGTGTACGGGCGTGTATGTGCGTGGAGGGAGGACGGACTACCACACTGACCGGACGAGGAACCAAACCACGGTCCGAAAAAGCGAGAGGAGGCGAGACACGGAAATAGAGCGTGCGCGCGAGAGAGAAAGAGAGAGAGAGAGAGTGAGAAAGAGAAGAAGGGGTAAACCAGAGGGGAAAGAGAATCGAGAGGAGGAAAGGGGGATGAGGGGCAAGGGATGATGCGGTGGCGGTGGTGGCGGCAGCGGCTCACGCTGCATGTGTAGAGGCATGGACCAGTGCGTCAACGGCTCTTGCCTCACACGTATCGTTCGGAATTAGAGTTAGCGTCGCGTTTAGAGAGAGAACTCTACGTTTGTTGTGTCATGCAGTGTATTAAGAGTTTTCCTTCATATCTATAAACAAAGTGTGCGTTTACGACAAATGACTGGGGATTGCTTCATTTTTTCCTTTTTGTACACGGTCATCTTTCGCGAATGGATTTGCACTTTTGTGTGATGAAAGCGATTGATTGATGTTGTAAGTGCTATTTTGCTTCTAAAGATGTGATTTGGTATTTATTTGGCCAAGTTTTAGTGCTGTCGTTGTCCGGCTTTCCAAGTCATTATTGATAAAACTAGAACTTTTGTCGTAATTAGTGAAGACTTGTTAATATCCGAGTTGATCGTCATTGATAGTCGCTTCGCCATGAGAATAGGTTTGTCCTGGTTTTTTGAATTTTAGAGAATTTTCCGATGCAAACAGTGGCTTTACTTAATAGTCTACCTGATTTCCTTGAGAGTAAGAAGAAGAAGCAAACTTGCAAGAGATTTGAATGCAAAGTTAGGCGGGCATCTCAAGGCCGTCGCTGGAACGTCAAATATAAAAACTCGCCGAAAAGTTAACACGGTCCGAACGCGCATTGGAATTACTCATCGATGCTATAATTGCTCAATTATGTGCAATTTGATGGAACCCAAATCCATTCGGCTAACTTGTCGTTCAAATTTCAGCAAAATACTCGTGACAAAATATTAGAAATGAAGATTTTATGTTGGCAAAAGTTTACATTCAAGTTTGTTAACTTTATTTAAAAAATTTTATTAGTCGCTAAAAGCTTTTTTGAGCTTAAAGCTATTTTGAAATCGAGTATATGTAATAATATTATATTTCAACGGAAAAGAGCGAAAAAAGTTTGTAAAGTCATTGCCTTTGTTGAATTTTTTAACTGACTTGGCGAAATACTATATACAATAATTCAAACAACACTTTATCTAATTTTTTAAATTGCGGTATTATTAATGTTTCGTGTATCCTTCTGCTTGTTTATTGATCTCCAACTGTTGTATTCTCAAGAAGACGAAAATTTTTCACGGTTTAGAAGGATTAGATTCGCGATACTTTTCAAAGTTTCATCATCGAAAAGTACTTGAAATGCCTCACGAAACACTGATATTTCATCGCGTGATATTCAAATTTGTTAAATCTAAAGTTTTTTCACTAAAACTGACACGAAAAGGATCGGTGAAATGTAAAAATCAAAATGACACGCTGCATTTCGAATTTAGGTGAAATTTCGTCGATAAATTATCGAACAAAGTTATATCAATTATCCAATAATGTTATCTACTACGAATCTAAAATGCGAGCAAGTCTCACCGGAAAGCCAAAAAAAGCGAAAAGTGAATCAAGATTGTCTTAGCGCTGACGAGCGATCCGTCGGGCAGTCGGTAGCAGCAACAGTAGCATCAGAACGTAGGACCACGTGCGAATACGTTGGCATGTCCCCCGTCGTTCGTTTGGTGCGTGTAGGTGGGGGCGCGTTTATACGTCCCGTCGTCGTTCTTTCCCCTATTTTTTCCTCCCACCTTTCGTTCACAGTGCTGCATAGCTGATGGCAGGTCTTGTGTCACTGCTTCCCTCCCCCCCTCGACGTGTGCCCTCGCAAAAATTACTGAATGAACGCTGACGTCACGCGACAACGCGGTCCGCGCGCGCGACTGTCGAAAAAAAAAAATGAGAGAGGGGGTCGACAAAAAACGAGCTCTATCGAGGACGAAAGTGGTGGATGGAGTATTTGGTAATGGGTTGGCTCTACTGCTGCTGTTACAAATTGATTGGCTTATTTCGCTGCGAGTGCTGGTACGAGGGCGAATAGTGTAGTTGTTATAGTTTCTACTGTAATGAATATTTTAACATTGCACCACTTTGATCTTGTGAAAACGTTTTAAAATCAATAAATTCAAATCATGTTGTATTGTCTATCTACTTGCTTTAAAATTTCAATTCTCGTCTAGTTTGAGTATCTTTAACAACGACTTCAAAACTTGAAAACGTAGAAAACTTCTTGATGTATATAATTCAGATTCGTTATGGCATTAGTTAATGGGTTATGGTTCAAATGTTTCAAGGTATTAAATCATTGATGAAATAATACCTCGATGAAAACGGAAGAAAAATCAGATTTTAATACATTTTCCAGGAGTGATATTTTTCGAATTGCACTTGAAAGAAAAAACGTGCTTATTCCTGAAAATATTTGTTTCATTTCTTGTCGTTTGGTTATAAAACAATTTCGATTAATATTTAGCACAAACAACTTTGCTCTTTGAATGTATTAAACAATGCGATGTAAAGATATGTATTTGAATCAATTAAAGGTAAATGAACTTGTGCGACAGTATTAATATAATGATTCCGAATTGGTATCAATGTTCAATAAGGATTTAATTATACGCCAGCCAACTAATAGAAGATTAGTTATTGCAGTTTAACTGGTAAATTGGAATTGATGCAATCGATAGTCAAGTTCATTTCTATGTTGAATACAAGATTGTGCATTTTTTATTATTATCCTGTTGAGCAAGACTACGAGAATGACGTCATACGTACTTACAAATTTTTTATTTAGACAATTACGATTGACGCAAAAGGACTCCCAATCATAAATAAAATGAATGAAATTGTTGACACTTACGTAGCAGAAAGCAGCTTCAAAAATGTATTTGGTCGCAAACTTATCAGTAAATTTCGTAGTAAAAAGGAAGCGGACTTGAAAGGAATTTCGCGCGAGCTGGATGTGCGGGCCATAGGGGGTTAAAGCATTATGTATCGAGGTAGATATTCTGAAGTAGAGAAAAGAGATAGGGGCCGAAAGGCGGTTACGAGATAGTCGTTGCTTCTCGCGACATAAAGGCTTTTCCGCGGGTGCTTCGTTAAACGAATCGAATTATACGACGAACGACGTCGAGGGTGCCTGCCGTCGGCCACGATGACGAGGGATATCTCTCTCTCTCTCTCTCTGCCTTTCTTTACCCATGGATATACTTTGAATTTAATTATCTAGTTGTACCGTTTTAACTTTTAAACGCCTCCCTTTTCAAGCGGCTTTTCGAAGGGTTGTCTGCGCCTCGTGCGTGTGAGCTTTTTGAAGAGATGTATCTTTCTTTTGTTGGCGCGTCTTGTTTTCGAAAGCTTATTCTTCCCGCACTGCCTTGTTTGGGATCTTTTTAATTGTCCTTTCAAAGAGCAATATTTTTCGTTGATTTGTGCCGATAATTGAGATTTGAACCGTTTCATGAAAATAAAGCGAGCAAGCGTTTCCATTACAGCAACAAAATTACGTTGTACGCATTAAATATAATATTGTGAAATTTAGAAACAATGCAGATATGTTAGATCTAAGTATTTTACAGATTTTCTGTAATATCAGTAAGTGAAATGACGAAGGAACCTTGATCTTCTGATTAACTTTTTGGATAAGTTACCTATTATATTTTATCTTTACTGATTTTCATTGGTTCCATCAAAGTAAGATTGCTATAAAAAGAGGTTTCTCCTCTGGTCGTCTAAGTTTTACAATACATTATCGTATAGTTTCTAATCAAGCCAATTGATTTACTCTCCAAAGTCAATATCGCAAAAAATCCGTGGAACATATAAATTTATAAACTTATATTTTCTTTTTTCAGATTAACGAAAAATGGACCAAGAACAGCGAAATATTTGAAAATCGGTCGGAAAATCAGATTATTACTTTACGATGAATAAGTGGAAAAAGAAAACAGCGCCTCGCAACGACAAGTAACCCATGATTAAAGCAACAGAGATTTAATGCATGAAAAATAATACAAGCAGCATGCGCGAGGAAAGCTCGTGATCGTTGAGAAACCTGAGCAGCAAAAATCGAAAGCGTCCACTGATCGTTCGCCACCTGTCAAATTCGAAGAGTAGATAAGTGAGAGCGAGAGCAATAAAAAGGTCGGTCGGAATGTCGTTGAAGGTAGGCAGACAGGAGGAGCGCTGGTGAAGAGTTCAGAGGGCCCCGGTAGGTGGGTCCGGTCTATGGATATATTCGGCCGGTGCAACGGGGGCGCCGGCCTCGGGGTAAACGTGCCGCACGCGGCCGCAGCCAACCCCACCACGACGAGACCGGCGAACCTGCCAGCCTCGGTCGTCGGCGAGCTCGGGGGCAGCAACGCCACGGCCGAGGGCAGCAATAACGTGTCGGCAGCCACAGCTCAGCCGCAACAGTCCAACAACAGCGGCAACAGAATGCAGCTCACCTCGGCCTCCACGGCACCCGGCAATGCGGCCTCCCCCGAGAGCGGCGTGTCGCCGCTCGCCGACGCTTACACCAAGATGACCAGTGATATCTTTGCCGAGAGGACGCTCGGCGACTACATGACTGAGCATCCTGGCGAGCTTGTCAGGACGGGTGAGTATATCGAATCGCTAATACTGTTGGCATAGCGGAAGGAAAGGTGATCGGTGCGATCCAACTAGAGCGTATTTGTCGCAGGCTCTCCACACCTCGTTTGTACAGTCCTTCCAACGCATTGGCGCTCCAACAAGACTCTGCCGCATGGATTTCGAGTGGTGTCGTTGGGCGACATTGTCGACGGCACGGCCGTCACAGTCCGAGCGGGCAACGATGAAAATTGCTGTGCCGAGCTTCGAAACTCCACGGCGTTCATGAAGAATCAAGTCGCAAAATTTAATGATTTAAGGTTCGTCGGCAGAAGCGGCAGAGGTACGTCCATACTTTAAATATTTTACACGATTATTCTCGCGGTTGGCGCGTTAAATAGTTTTCATATCGAATCGACCACACAACAGACACATAATTGCGTTAAAAGCCTCTTAATCGTACCAATTAAAACGAAAATTCGTCGGGCTAACCCCGTGCTCTCAGTTTACCTAATTGAAGGAAAATAATGAGAGGTCATAAAAGCCAAGAAAGAGAGAGAGAGAAGCGTTAACAGCCTTCGGGTTGCTTGCGCGACATGGATTCATTCACGAAAACTTGCCTCGCCAAGGAAGCGGGGAAGGGAGCAAGCACCCTTTTGCAAGTTTGGGGTAGATCGCGGATGACTCTTGAGGTCGGCTCGCCTCTTATTTTTCCGGCCACTGCCGCGCCGGTGAAAGTCGCGCGTCGCGGAGGGTATTTCTCTCTTGAGGAGCGAGAAATTCCAGGCGACGCCTTCGCGGGGAACCTCGAGGGAGTTTGGGTAATGGCTTTTATTTGTCCGCACGCCTTCACTTCTGCCTCCCTAAAACCTCGACCTCGGAGAACTACCGGCTTCTTTCGCCCCACCTAGTAAGCTTTTGCCTCGTTTACACTCACAGCTCGGCTTTCTTCGCAATCAATTGATTTGTTGGATTTTATTGAGCCAATTTTTCGCTTGGGGGCTTTCTTATTTTTACTCTTCAAATGTTTACCAGTGATAATTATCTAATTATTTCTTTACTCTTACATTTTTTAAGCTAACTTAAAATATTCGAATATTTCTGATTGGTCAACCAAATATTTATCATGGTGAAATGTCGGCTTATTTAAAATGCGACAGTCATTTTAAAGTAGCGTGATAAATTCTAGAATAATGATAATAACTAAGAAATTTCTTAACGGAAATAACTGAAAAATGTACTCTCTAAACATGGATAAGCATCACAACATCTTCATCTCAAAAGGCTCTTATTAATTCCGCGAGCAGAAGCGGGATGAAAATGAGGGTGAAGAAGACTGCGTGCACCGTCGAGAGGTGGAGCAAAGAAAAGGAACTTGCTACTTGCTTCAGAGGCTATGATATTAATTGAGGTTACCGCCGGTTTAATTAACGTTATTAGCACGGGAATTTCAGCCTGCTCACGCTGATGAAACCTTGTCCCATTAAACGAACTTGGCCAGATCTGAATTATTTTGAGTTGTACCATAAAGGGGCGTGAGGTGTGCTTGCCGGATGAGAGCGACCATCTCTTTTGATAGGATCTACCCTCAAGTGATTGTTGATTGAAGTACTTTTGGGTTTTTACACTTACACAGTTATATTCGTATACCGATGTTAAGTACACCACCGTTCTATCAAAATGTCAAAGGTTAGCAGTGCAGCAGTCTGTTTTTTCTGCATCTGACTTATAAACCTTATCGTTCGTACCGTTAATTCATTAATCCATAGATTTTAAGTTGACACACTACGTTTTATACAAATTGCTTTAAAGTATTTGATACTGATTTCGAGTGCCCTCTATACCTCATATATGGATAATATAATTATTAAAATGTCGATGCCACTGTAAACGTAACCGAACCAATGGATTCAACATAATCAATTGTATTTTTTCTTTTTCAACTCAACACTGATAATCATTAACAAGCTCGCATTATCTGCCTTAGGCTCTCTCTCTTCGTTGCGCATCCTTCATCCGATCTTATGTTAATTCCGCACCCCTCTAGCGAAGACAATTGAGAGCTAATCCCAGACAAATGACTGACACTCGACGTGCTCCGCTCTAGGAAAACAGGTCTTTCCCTTAGACTTAACATTCACGACCGCCAATGCTTTCGGCAAAGCTGCGAACGAAGGAGTCTTCGCTCTGTAGAATTCCGACGGTCTAGGCCGATTTCGAATACCGTGAATCTGATTATCTTAATTAGTCTGAAAAAATTGGTTTAACAGTGGATGTAATAGGATTCAACAGTGATTACACTATATTATACAGAGTGAACGAGAATCAGTTGTATCTTAAATTCCATAGAAGTTGAGATATGCATTTTGAAATCTTACATTTTGCTTCGTGCGTCTCTGCGTATGTCAGTGTATTGTTCATCTGTGTGTGTTAACAGAATCATATAAATCGTGGCTCTCGATCGTTTCATCGCCTCGATAGTATCATCTAGATGACAAATATCCAACGTAAACCACATCCTTACGCCTTCATCTCAAAACCCATCTTCCTTCGACGCTCTTACGCTATGGTATAATAGCGATCCCATCAGCGTTGCATCTCCTTGTAAGGTATCAGATTTAATCTTTGTAGTCTTCCGACGCAAACTCTCGTTCATTTATAGTAAGCTAGGGCAAATGATGTGGTGTCACGTGTAAATGGAAAGTGCATTTCCTCACTGAAATAATGAAATATTGCTTTTATCCTGGAAAACATCTTTAATTGTTGTGAACAAAAATTCAATTATAAAATGTGTCTGTGCGGACTGTAAATAAACTCAACATCGTAATTTTATTATGATTTTATTTGTTTGCATAGAAGACAAGCGAAGATGCAAGATAATCGTTACACTGCACTACGATAGAAGTAACAAAACAAACATTGCAGTCGTCCAAGGTAAATCAAGCGAAGTCACCGTAAAAACGTCGTGTAAACTAGTAGTCGTCTAACGGCGGATGCTTAACATAATTTTCTAGCCGTCGCGCAGCACATTCACCCACACACATATGGCATATACATCGACATAGACATAGCGAGAGAGAGAGAGAGAGAGAGAGAGAGAGAGAGAGAGAGAGAGAAAATCGTGACTCGAATTTCCATTTGGAGCGGCAACAATTCTCATGCGTAATGAGCTTAACGCGCTGGCGGACCGCCGTTAAAAGCGGACTTTAGCGCTCGTCCCAGGCGAGCCCTAGAGCCTCTCCACCTCTCGCGCCCTCCGAATCGATTTCACGCTACAGAGAGTGCGATCCAAGAAAAAATCTAACACGCGCGCCCGTCCGCCTCTCTGCGCTATAATCCAATATATCATAATCGCTCGGAATTGATATTGATCAATAGGCCAGGCGCGCCGAGGCTCATTAGCGCCGACACTGCACCGCGCTCAGTTTTGTTTGTTTGCCGTCTGACTATGCTCGTCCGGCTGTTCGATCGGCGATGTGTTAAGGCGCTACGCGCGTTTCGGATGCCGATTTTGCTGGCGCCGCTTTTGTTGCTTTTTTCGATGCAACTTTTACGTTGCAAATGAAGCGATTTTCACCGCGCGGATTTATTAAAAGTTTAACGTTCGCTTGACGGACGCCGTCCGCACCGACAAATATCGGGCTCAGATCAATTCAGTTGTTATTATATATCTGTCATTTTAAAGTGACCTTTCTCAATTTCATTTCATTGCATTTAAGTGAATGTGAAATGATCATAATGATGCCTGGTATTATTGACATTTAGAGCAGGATAGCTTCAAGTTGAGCATTCCATTATAACAGAAAATATAAACAAGGCGACATGTTTTATTACTCAAACGAACTTATAATTCATAAATCAGACGAGTGCTTTTACATAGAAACCGTAGGATGAAAGCATACCTTGGCGGTAGAAGCGTCATTCTCAGACCGAAAATCAATGAGCTTATAATCAGCTGCGTGGGAATACAAGTACACTCTCACGGTACGTGACTCTGCATATATAAATCGATCAACAACTTTCACGTTTTTTTCACGTTCTTTATACATATTCAATTTGCAAGATTGACTCTAAATATGTATACGAGCACTCTGGCGTCGTTGACGTGAGCACATGAAAGTTAGTGCACGCATAGTATCAGCCTCGGTACCAGTCGCGAGGGATTGCCATTAAAAGTCGGGCGTACCGCCTGCTTCGACGTGCCTTTTCGTTCGCGTTTTCAATGCTTCCAATATTCGCGCCACGTGCTTCCTGAATTTGCTTACTATACTGTGAATTTTATAACCATTCAGCGGCTCTAAAATCTGCATTTTTGCTTTTCGAACCTACGTCTTTCGGTACAAACTTAATTTTTTTAGCAGTGTACGCTACGTCGAAGCCGAAGAAATGTCTCAATCTTCATGAAAAACAAAAGCCCGTGTGTATCTGAACATACCATAAACTCGCCACGCCAACCAAACGAAGCGTAAACACAGGCGGCAAGCTTGGCAGCCGCGCGGCGGCAGATATATAAGTTGGCTGACGTCGTCGCCGGCAGAATGTATATATACGAAAAGTAGTATAGCGCCAGAATAGCGTGACTGCCGGTTGGTAAAGTGCAGCGGCGAGGAATCTCGCGTGGCGAACCACCCTGTGGCCACCGCTTTGACACCCGTGCCGTTATTATTTCTGATATGCCCTTATCTTGGCTGCACCTTTGATTTTAGCACTACTCATCGATTTTCTTCTATGTTATGGACTTTTGTAGTGATGTTTATTGTAGTGTTTTGGAGTTTAGATTTCATTATCGATGTGCTCAAATAAACATTACCTTATAATTATTAATTTCTATAGAAATTTTCAGTGCATCGATGGAAAACCATAAGATGAAAAATGATCAAGCGATATGTTTCAAACTGTTTTTCGATATTGTATCGTTATTGTAATCGAGTGCTGGTTGATTGAGTTAAGCATAAATATTGAAGAAGTATGCATGCCTGGTCCCATTCAATCGATAAGTTGTATACGAATTACAGTGTAAGTCATACATTATCATTTATAATATAAATTTCAATTGAGCGTTGAATGAAAAAAATAACGATTGATATATGTTAAGAATTTTTATTAATGTGTATAGTTACACGGCTGTCGTAATTACCATTTTGTAATTAAGGCAAAATTCGAAGCACTTGTTCTTAACAGGCCCCATTGTGAAGGAAAGTGTATCCTTTAACAGAATGTTCAAGATTTGAATTTGTACTATTGCGTTAATGCAAATTATGAATAAAAAGACAAAACTTACTGCCTCCTCGTCTGTTTTCGGCGTTCATGGCTGCTCGACTGCTAAAGTTTTGAAGTCCACCGCTTCTGCCATCTCGAGCACAAATCATTGCTTGAGACAATTGAAGAAGGCTCAGTACAAGAACCAACAGAAAAGCGAAGTATTTCATTTTGTATTTCGAATAGTACTGGACTAATGGCACGTATCGACTGTGGACCTGCGTGCACACTCGCAGTATTTAAAGCAACTAATCAGCATATCGCGACCTTATTATGCTGCGTAATGGCATTGATCATTCATCCGAGTTGTGCATGATGCATGCAGTACGTTAGAGGAAACCATTGTAGGAGGAAATAATTGATAAAAATACACATTCCAATTTTCTTTGTAATCAAAAAAATATTTTGCGCTCAATCGTTCAACCTTGTTTTTTATACTGTGTAAACATTTTTCAATGTTTCTTTGGCTACCACTGCTTTTTTCGCGTCAACTTTTTCTCATATATTAATGTTTTAATAGCAAAGTTAATAGAAATTGTGCAACACTTTATCAATAAACTCTACAAAATTTCATAATAATATAATAAGATGGGCCTATCTGTCAATTTAGACCGTAATATACATTATAATAATGTAATCATTTATTCTGAAATTACAGTTATGTTAAGAAAGAAACTACTGCACAAGGAAAACTTGGCGAAAAAATGTTTCCCTGCTCGTTTGTATTCAAAACAAGTAAATGATCTCGAATGCAATTAATCTTTAGTCAGTGTATTTTTATTTTTATAGTGATAATGAAAAAAAAAAATACGTAAGATAAAAAAATAAGTGGAAGTAAATGACTTGTTGCGTTGAATTGATAATATCGAGAAATAAACGAAGTCATGATTAAATTATACTAATCTACAAATTTGTTCATTGATTTTTCATGTTTTCTTGTTGCTTATTGCTTACAATTAAACAGGCAATTTTCTGTATTCACGATAAATATAATTAAATATATTCTGTTCAATAATCATATATTGCATTGTGTTTTTCTATTTTATAGAAAGTATTATTTCCTCGTCTTAATGTGATTTTAAATATCATGTATAGTCTCGTGTAATAGTTCCATGTCATTGCAGAACATATAGTGATTTCGCTATACGCTGACAAAATGCTTTAAATACGATTTCAATACGATCGTGCAAATAGATCTATAGTCGATGTGTTCCATTAGTCGGGTACATTTCAAAATACAGAATGAATTACTTTGCATTTCTGTTGGTATTTTTATTGAGTCTTGTTCAACTGTCTGAAGGAACGATTTATACTCGAAATGGAAGAAACAGCGTAAGACAAAACTTTAGCAGTTGAGGAAATTTTTTTTTTCATTCACCGTGGGACTTGTTAAAAACAAGTGCATCAGGAAAATGTCGTTGCAACAATAAAGCAATACCAAGAAAAGACCTTGCAAGATAATTTAATAAAAGGTATTGTTATGTTATCTTTTATCTAAAATGCGATAACAACGTTTTATATTTTGTGTGTAAATAGTAGTATACAACTGATTGCACTAGCTGGTAGTCGAGAAATACCGATTTACGAAATGCCAAAAATAAGCAGACTTGCCGGGGGTATAAGTTTGCCTATAACAAGCGACATTAACGTAAAATCTACTATATTTTTACGAACAATCATCAGATTTTCTCTTTTGAATTTTGAGATGAATTTTGTTACTATGTCAAAATATATAGTCTGCGAAGTAATAACAACATACAGAGCACATGACAATATCGACTTACGCACTGCATCAAATAATAAGCGAAACAATAAAATGAAATCGCATTGTAAAATTGAAATTAAAAGGCCCCGAGCTGGAAAAAAATTGTGACGCCTACAGAGCAGGGCGTAGATGATGCGTTTCCGAAGGGCCTCGCGAAAATGATGGCCATCCGCAAGATATTCAGCGCCAAGTACACCTAGATCGCGACCCCGGTATAGTCGGGCGCACGGCGCGGTGAAAGTTTGCAAACGTGGTTATCAGCGCGGAAAGTCCGTTAAACGAGTTAGTCCGCACGGGTAATGTATCGAGAGACTGCAGCAGAAATATGCGTAGTAGTGGCCAGCAGCTGCGAACAATCTGTCCGGCGACGAGCGGCGGCCGGCGAGCTCTACCCTTTTATTATGATAAAAAGCTCTCCGCTGGCCAGGCGCGGTGCCGGCATAGGCAACGTTGTTTAGCGGAAATTTGGAAACCATACGGAGGGGGTCTCCATCATGCCGGTATTTGTTTTTTATCCGATTCGCGATACATCGCGGCGCGCTCCAACCAAGGCTGCAACGGCGCGCCGCGTGGTCGCACTTTCTTTTTGTTTCCGATTTATGAGAGGGCTTTTAGTGGGCCGCGCGGGAGCTTATTTGCGCGGGAGCGATTTTCGCATCGCCATGGTTAATACACGCTAATACATTATTCCGAGAGGGGGACGGAGCACGCCGTAGAAAATATACATGCTGAATTAATTAATTGCCATGTAACCATAAAGTATGTTGTAAACGTTACAGCAAAATATTGTATCATGTTGGGACGCACCAACAAGATTGCGTGTGAGCATTTTGAAGCTCAACCGAAATGCATCTTTCTTTTGCCCTTCGGTCGAAATTGCTTCTCTTCCTTTTCAAAATCTCATTGTTCATTGTTTTATTAAGAACTACATCTTATTCCATTTATTCGAGTAAGCTTGCCATGTAATGACTTCAATCATTTTACGCTATTATCGAGAATGTGTTTTTTACGCAGTCAATTACTTTGCTAACTAATCAAGTTCAATTTTAATGTTGAAAGAAATACATTAATGCTGACGCCTCTTCGTAAAGCTTGAAAAGCGAATTCGCTTAGTTGGACGCATTGAGTTGACATGCGATCGTGAATCAAACGAAATCATCAACATTGAATGAAGAAATAAAAAGAAAACTTCGATTCAACTCGATCAACGTAATGGTTTTCATTTAGTTTTCGGCAATACTCGACATCAGAGACATTTCCTTCTTTTTCCAGGTAAAAGCTTCACACTGACGATAACATTATCGACGACGCCACCTCAAGTTGCCACCTACGCCAAAGCCATTAAGGTGACGGTAGACGGGCCACGCGAGCCCCGATCCAAGACCAGTGAGTATCACTGTAAGCATTATTGACTTTTTCTTTATTACTTCAAACCCCATATTGATCGACGCATCTCAACGAGCATGCGAATCACGGAGTTGTAATGATGAATTCACATGCTCGTATTATACGATGTCTCTCACATATCGGTCAGTGTTTAGGCCGTGTGCCATCAATATGCCGAATGTTCGATTTGGACGCAAGCCATCGGACGCGAATAAGACGAAGTTTAGCGAGCAAGAGCAACAAATGCGTCGCGCCGTGTTTGCCGGGCAGCAATGCCTCACGCATGCGGTTATAAAGCCGCGAACCCTTGCCGGGCGAAACTTGCGCGCCGCCGCGACGATCGCCATTATTTATAAGCTGTGTTGGCGCGCGAGCGCTCCGAGCATTGACAAAGAGGGAGAGACCAAGGAACCTTGCCTCGGCGTCTTTGTCGTCGAGTTTAGCCTCCTTTTGCCCTTAATTGCGAGTCCCCCCCCCCCCCCCCCTCTTCGCCCTGCAACTCTCCGACTAAACGCCCGCGCCTTCCATTTCTGTATAATGCACGACTTCGCAATTCACATCCGTCTGTGTGTGTGTGTGTGTGTGTGTGTGTGTAGTGCGCCTCGCGTGCTAATGTGTTATTGTTGGGCAGTTGTTATTCTTGGGAGCATTATTACTTCTGCGATTAACGCGGTACTCGCACGGTGGATGCCGTGCACTTGCCTTTTCATCTTGGGTGAATTCATAACTTTACTTGCGCGCACAATATACAAATGGCACGACATACCGTTCAAGTTGATGCAATTAAAGTTGCTTGTCTTATTTTCACCGTCGATTCACCGTGAAAGCTAAGTGTGAATTGTGTACTGGTGCCACTTGATCCTGATGTCCAATTCGAAAGTAATTCATTTATCGTGCAAGAACTATAAATTGGCTACATAGTTGATATTTGAAGTATAACGACCGGTATATTGAATGATAACAAATCCTCTTGATTTTCAAACCGTAAGTCGTGATAAAATTTAACTTGCCAGTATCACTAAATCGTTTGCGAAATTCGGGCGAGCAATCCCGTACGGCTCTATCTACTGGTATCTTCGACGCGACGATGGATGTGTCTTTCGTATTCCAGTTCTCTTGGCGGAAGGCAGCCGTAATTAATTAAACAAGCAATTCATTACACACGAGTCGGGGGCCAACCCTTTAACCATCTTCCTCTCTCTCTCTCGCGCGTGCGCGCGTGCACGCGTTACTGCCCTGGCCAAGGAAATTGATTGAAGAGGGTAGGATAGTCTTCTACAGATCCACCCCACGCCAAGTCCGAATGCCGAACGCTGCGCTTCAGTTTCGGCATCTGCTTATCTCGCTCGTGGCCTTCGATGCCATCAACCTTACTATGAGAATTCGTATTGCGAATCCCAAGAATTTTTACGTTTAAAAATTTTGCTTATTTCAGCTAGATTACTTGCATGAATTTTCAGTGAATATCAAAATAGCGTTAATTTTATGATCAAAATTGTGCGATCGCACTCAAAGGATTGTTCATTTTAGAGAAAAGAAATTTTTACGAAATTTGTTCTTTTCATGAACATGCTATAAATGCTCTTCAATGAAAATAAAATTCCATTTTGTTATATTTATATTATTTCATAAAATAAAATACTTTTATATCAGAAAATTTATGGTAGATTACTAGTTATACGATAAAGATGATTATTTTATTATCACAATATAATTTATCGCGTCTATGAATTCAATAAATTGAGCTTTTCGAAACTGAAGCAAATGTTGCTTTGCTTTCCAGTATAACATTATTGCTTTCAAATATGAATGTAATCAAATGTCAATGAGACAAATAAATATAAAAGCACCCTAAATGAATAACATACGATACTGTCGATGTATTGTTTTTGTATTCCGATGCAGTTGTGCTTGTAACTTTAGAATTGGGTTCAAAGGTATTCGCGTGATAGTTATCAGAGATTAGTTAATGCACTGCAGAAAATGCACTACAGATAATCAGTTACCAAGTATTTTATTTTGAAAATGATTTCCAGGAAATATTGTAAAAGAAGCCAAGTCCGTAGAGAGCGAATTTATGCGAAACTTATTTCACTCGGTATATCACTCACGTAGGATATACACGCTGGCGCGCTAGCGAGAGATAGAGAGAGAGAGAGAGAGAGAGAGAGAGAGAGAGAGAGAGAGGAGTGAGAGAGAGAGAGAGAGACAGAGTACAATACATCGAGGGTCTCGCGTGATAAATTCGAGGGCTTGAAAGCTCTAATTTATTAATTTATCAAGTTCCCTCGCTGCGTGTGGGCGCGTACAAGTAGCACTGCCAAAGAGAGGGAGAGAGTGAGAGAGAGCAAGAGAGCCCAGCAATTCATTCGCGGATCTGGCGCAATCGTGACGCGCTCAGCCGACGATTTTCCACGCTACTTTAACCCCATAATCTTCTCGCCTGTTTACGATGCGGATGTATATGTAGCCGCTCGCGTCGGTTAAGATTTCAAATGGGTGCGACGTTGTAGAACTCGCTGACTGATTATACGGGAATTGTCGCTCGATGTGCGCTTGGATGTCGCCAGAAAAATTGCGCGATACTTATCCTATGAATTCCTCAAAGCTGTCCAAAAGAAATTTCAATTCGATTGTTCGTTGAGTGAAAAGCAAGTTGAAACTCGCAGCCTCGAAATTCCATCCATGTGCGTCTAGGAACTAAGTGAGAGCTGCATTCAATTGAAAACTCGGCGAAGTGAAAGACGAAGCGAAACAATCGATTTGGAACGTACGACGTGTATAGCGCCGTGGATGGATCGGTCTTCCGAGAAGTTAAAGCAGGAAATTGGGCATTATCGTTGCGGGGTCAGCTAGCTGCACTGCCACGGGGGAGTTTGAGAATATAGGTACGCAGGCGAGACAGAGAGTAGCGATCGTTTAACTGGATCTCGTTAGAGAGTGAAACTGGGCGCTAGATAAAGCTCACGAGCCTAAACTTGGATAGGTCACTCACTGCCTGTAAACGTATTCCTCATGCGCATGCATCGACGGGCCATTGTACAGTTGGGAACTAGAGAACGCTTCCCTATTCAGCAAACCGGCGGGAATTTCGAGCGCTGCTCCCCGGGCTAGAATTATCCGAGGGCTGCGATTGGATTATCTAGGAGAGAGACTGTCTGTCTGTCTGTCTGTCTGTCTGTCTGTCTATATGTTGCATGCTGATCACTGGTAGATATCCTCCCGATCGACGACTTGACGCTAAGCGCTAGCAAGCTGCTATGTCCACTGTATTATTGTGATTGGGCTATCTGGGTATAATTAGACACGAGCAATATATTTGCACAGGGCAACCACCATAGGAACAACGAATTACGTTGTTTAGTAACCTCTGTTTCATAAAAATTCATTAATGCTAAACTGTTGTTCGATAATATTCGTTCGATGGTTGTCACGTTACAAAAATCATAAAATATATTATTTTGTCGTTAATTCAAGTGTCATAAATGTCATTTTTTTTCTTCATATTCCGAACTGCTGCACAACGTCTATGTCCCCTTTCTCTTTGATTGTCTCTTGGCCCTGTCAATTCGCCTCTTCCTGCCGGGGATGAAATGGTATAGGTGTAAGTGTCCTTTGCCACTGGGACGTCTTTAATTGAGTTGCCGCCACTAACGGAAGGGAAATAAAACGTGTCATCCCTTTACACGTATAACGCTATCACTGTCCTTTGTTCGATTTTTGTCTTTTTCTTTGCCATTCTCTCTATCTCCTCTTGCTGCCTAATTCCCTTCAGATGTACTTTTTTTACGTCTTTTTATTTTTCGATTCAATTAATTGTGATTGAGATTTTCATCGGTTCTTTGTGATAGTGAACTGAATTCAAGCAACGAATATGCGAAAAAGTGGCGATAACTGGGACTGCAATAATGGATGAATAAATTTATCGACGTGAAAAAAAGAACAATCGACGTGCACATATACACTGACAGAATGTGAGATATATCCGAGGAACAGGCGCGCGGTTGATCGCAATGTGCTGGCCTCTTTTTCAGGGCAGCAGTCGTTTCATCCGCTGGCTTTCGCCTCGCAACGTAGCGGGCCGTTCTTTCCGTCGTCCCTGGTGGATCCATTGCAGTCGCTGCCGAGTCCTCTACAACCTCTGCCCAACCCCCTGCAGCCCAGAGATCCGCTGTCGTCGTTTCGCCACGCTATGTCCAGTAATTGCCAAAGTGAGTTTATTGATTTGGTTTTATACAACTGGTAACTGATTTTTGTATTCAAGAGAGCTTGTTATCCTTTGACGAAGGGCTTAATTATGCGGTATATGAAATCTGTCTAGCCAACGTATTCAATTAGAAGGAAATAAATCAGTAGAAATGGTTACGTATGGTCAGGCGGTTCAATGACTATACTACATAATTACACAAGGATAGTTAATGTTTCTCTTAAAAAAAGTAAAAGCTACGAGAGATCATTTTCTACATTCTGGTCTAGAGTATACCGGTAACTTTCCCTTCATCATACGCATTTGTTTCATTCGTTGATGTTTAAAAAGAAAGAGAGAGAGAGAGAGAGAGAGAGAGAGAGAGAGAGAGAGAGAAACAGAGTAGGCAAGAGCGAGTTAACGATGAAAGATCAAAGGACTGAGGGAAATTTCTCTTTCGGACAACTCAAATAAGCGAGGCAAAAGGCCCGACGTGACCCTAAATACTGCGGGAGCTACCGCATTCTCTATACTTCTCTACATTGCTCGTTCATTTCACTTCGAAAGCTGATAATTTTTTTCTCCCTCTCCATTGCCACGTCTTTCGGCTTTTTATCGTTTAACTCTTGTTTATTACTCGATGCCCAGGTGTCGTGCACAGACTCGTTCGATAAATGTGTACTGCTGTGTACGATGAATATTCAGGAATTTTCGTCGGATCAGGAAAATTTATAATAAGGGACATTCCTGAAGCTTTTTCACGTATATCGAAGAATGCCGCGGAACATAGATGTTAAACTACTTTTTGGTTCATTTTTCATCGTCTTTGTAAATCTTTAATTGAAAAATTATTTCAATGACGTTATTTAAAAATAAAAAAATTACATTTAAATACTTTGTAAAAATTAGCTGCCTAAAATGATTGAGCAATAGTAATATTTTCAATTGGGAAATTCAAATTCAGAAGTATGAAAATAAAAATGTCCGCAGGAGCATACGTACATAATTTTGAGTTGAAGACAAAACGAAGTCATCTCCCGACGGAGCAGTATACTCGCAGTAGCAGCAGCAGCGGCAGCAGCTTGCATACAGACTTTTGCGTTGGCTTTTCAACGCTGATGTCTATTGCTGTGCGCTCGGAGCACAAGCAGCAGCATCATCTCTCTCACTGGCGCAACCCCTTTAATATAATATTTAATCTAGCTTTGAACAGGCTTGCGGTTTCCGCCTCTGCTCGCTCTCTCTCTCTCTCTCTCTCTCTCTCTCTCTGCCACTGCTGCCTGTCGACTCTATACGTATATATAGATCCCTCTGCTGCTGCTACTGTTGAGCTTCGTCAGCTCCTCCTACTCGCATAGAGCCGCTGAAAAGGGCTCTCTTGCGCCAGTCGAGGTATTCGCGAATATATAACCCAACCATAGCGCGCGAGTTTTCGTTCGTTTACGTTCGAAAAGTTGTTTTTTTACTCTTACTTTGCTCACTCGAAATTTTTTTTCAACAAACTTTCACGGGCCTGGATAGATATTTCGTTGCTGAGTTTTGCTCTTTTCGGTGGGGTGGTTAAAGTTCTAACTATCAAAGAAGGCATTCGTTGTATTGCCATTTTATTTGATTGCACTTATTGAATCTTTACATTTTGCGGGTTACTCTATTATTACTAATTTTAAAATGTACATCGAGCGATTAGTTCTACAAGAACAGCAAACAGCTACAAAATCTTGCGCGTGAAACTACTTGGAAGAAACCGCAAAAATTCAATCGAATCACTTTTGTCGTCCATCCAAAAGAAAAAAATATAGCAGTTGGCGATGGCGAATCAGACGAGACAACAAACCCGACATCTTGTGTTACAGACATGTCGCAGTTCAGTCTGACAGCAAGCAACTCCTGGAGTTACGGTAGCACGGCAGGTTACGCTGGCTACCTGCCAGGGCCATTGTCGTCGTGCGCAGCGCAGACGCCATTTGCACCACCGCCAGCACCACCACCTCCGCCGCCCACAGCGTCTTCCAACACCGGCTCGTCTTTGACGAGTTTCGCTGGCAGCGCCACGATGAGCAACACGCCCACGGCACCCGATTCCACGGCGGGCAATACGCCGACTAATGTTCCTAATGCCAATGCCAATGCCAACACCAATGCAGCTAGCCAGCAAGATGCTTTCTCAGCTGTTTCCTCGCGTGAGTTCACAATTTTTATAGACATTTTAGTTTGAATATCTGTTTCGTGTAGAGGTAGATCGCCAATGAAACTTCAATTCGGAAGCTGTCTGGAAATTTTCTACTGGAATAATTTCAAAAAGTATCTCGATAGTGCGCATTTTCAATAGAGCAGTGATTTTTTGGTCTTCTGTATTTTTAGTGTTCGGTTTTCACAGGTGCCCTTTTATAGTTCTTATACATAATGTACATTATTAATTACAATTTGAATGTCGTTCAAATAATTTCGGTCTTTTCATTTCATTCGGAGATTTTGAGGCATTTTTGTTTGGATAAAAACAATGAATTACAAATAATAAGCCCTCGTATTATTCAAGGAATGTTAGAAGCAATAAACATATAGAAAACGATCGACTCTGATATTTGTTTATCCACTTAACCTGACAACTCTAACGAAAATATCGTTTATTGTGTAGTTCCAGACACAACGACACCTGGTGGTCAAGTCGATCCTCTGGACCCGTTAAGCAGTTTAATGTCGAGTACAGGTACACCATCATCGACCCAAAGGTATCAAGATTACGTGTCACCTAGGTCTCTATCCACGGACTCGAGTGCCACTGAAAGTCCAGTTCACGAACAAGATCAGTCGTTCAGTCAGAATTGTTCGACGAACAATTACTTTCCGACGCCAAGCGTATTTCCTACAATTCTCTACTCGCAACTCTACAATAACACGCAGTTCCCAAGCGCCGAGGCAACCGACCAGCAACAACAGCATCACCATCACAGAGTGGCTGGTTTGGCGGATGGAAGCTGCAGTGTTCGGGTGCCGGAAGAGGTCAGACCCGATAACAATGTTTGGCGGCCCTACTGAGCCAGCACCGATGAGTCTCTGTCGCTTGGCGAGCTGGGCATTAGTGAGACGGGCGACGCTGAACAGGTGCTTGACGATCGTGGCGACTCGTCCTGGCTCTGTCGACTGTAGGCATCATCGACCACTCGTCTCCTGCGTTATACTTCGATTCTGTTCGTGATTTCAATTGCACAGTGTTCTAAAAGCAATATCTTCGTTTGTCCAAAAGATTCGTTGTCCGGGCAAGAAAGTTCGATTTTTCAGATTCGATAACAAATTTTTCACAATCAGTCAGCTGAAATGCTAGTTTTCAATTGTGTTACTTTTAGTGAGAGAGAGAGAGAGAGAGAGAGAGAGAGAGAGAGAGAGAGAGAGAAAGACTAAGAAGCAAGTGTTAGTGAAATCATCATTGGTGAGTGATACATGCATTATAAATACATAAAAGAATGATTTATGAAAGTAGTAAGCATACTCTGTAAATAATTGTACATAGTTTATTGAGCTGCATAGCTAATATACATGTATTAAAAAATGCAATGTCTCCCCGCCGAAAAAAAGAACAAAACATTTTCAGATGACAGACCGAAAACCTATGTGATAGGTATTTAGTCATGGGCACGAAAGAGCTTTGAAGAAAGAATATATATAGTTGAAAATTGAATAGAAAAGATGCTACTTCGTCATTTTCTTAAAGTTTGAGATGGTGTGTCAGTAAAACGGGAACATCATCCACTAGACATTTTTCAAATACTCTTTATATCAAGTGTCAAATCCTGCGATAAGCGTACGTTGACAGCACATCGCTAGTTATTCATTTTTCGATTATGTTTTCATAGTATATATTATTGCTTCCTGTAATTGAGTAGTTAATAAAAGAAAAAAGGTGCATACGTTGCTGTCACGGGAATCGTGCAATAGCTTAACCAAAGCCAAAGCGAGAGGAGAAAATAGCGTCATCATCTTGCAAAGCATCTTACGCGATGAATAATAACAATTGAAAGCAAATTTATGAAGACGTACGGGATAAAGTTAATCGAAATAAAAGAAAGAAAAAAGAAATCAAATGAGGGTAATTTAAAAAAAAAGTAAATAATTGCGGTTAACGAATAGATCAACGAAAGCAATTTAAATTTATTTTCTTTGAATCGTAGCAAAGAGTTTTACATTAAAATTCATTTCGCCGCAGGAAGATGAAATACACGGCGCACTTTGGTCGTTACAAATACATATGTACTTGGCCATTGACTATCGTTACACATAGCTTTCATTTCTCGTTCATATTCAACCATAAAAGTAACTACCAACAATAAACGTACATCAAATTCATTGCAGATCAGTTCCAATAAAACATATCTAGCGTTTATTGTTACTGTAGTTTTTGACCGAAGTCGAATAAAGTGTATTTCAAAATAAAAAATATAATCAAATTGTTTTTTCTGGTCATCCCGTATATCTTTGATTGTATCGATTCATTTTTCATTTAAACTAAAATTATGGTTTTTCATCTTCTGTTGCTTTTCTACATTATAGTAGACCGCCGCTAAATGTCATCTAACTTTCAAAAAATAAGAGGTAAGTGCAAATTTTTAATCCAAACCATACTTACGATATTCAATCAGGCGAATGAAATACTTTAGCATTAAGTAGAAAAAGTGTATATTGAGAATTCTCGTTGCTTGTTATACATTTTCACTAGCAAAAGAGTACATTGCTTACACGAGTAACGCCAGAAGCTGCCTGGAATCTCTACAAAAGCTTCTTCGCCCGGAAGGATTTCTAGAGTCGTATGCAAATTCACAGGGATTTAATTAAGCTCCGTGCTTGAATCCTCGGCTGCCACCCACCAGGGTGATAAAAACAATTCTCCAAGGTTTTTGAATGTAGACGAACATACATTCAGATTTCCTAGTAATAATACTATTTTTCGCCACTATCTGCATAATGTTTATTCAAATCAGTTTTTAATTTTTAGAATGCATTGCACTCACTATTTCAATATTTTAAACGACTCGTAAAAATTGGTTTGTTTATAGAACGCGCAATCATTCAATAACTCATATGATGTGTTTTCTAGAATTTTTATTTTCGTTATCCTCGGTCGACCGTAGCAAACAAAATTGTTTGATAAAGCGATTAAGGCCGCAAATAAACTTGCGTAGAACAAGGTAAGTAGCGCTTAAAACAGCCGACAAACTGATAGCAGAGTAAGAAGAGAGCGCAAAGAGAAAAATTAGAAAAAGACGAAGTGAACTCGATGACAGCCGACAAGAGGATTAAAAAAGTGTCAAGCGCCCTCAAACGCCAACAAAGGCATCAAAACGCCTCTCTTTCTCTGTCGCTCTCTTGCTCCGTTGGTTGGCCTCACTTTGGTACAGCGAATCTGCATAAGCGAAAGAGCCAGCGTCCATATAAAGTTGCACAGAAGAGCGAGCGAGCGCGTCGTTCATCAACGTCCCGGCAGCATAGGCGTTGTTTCGCGACGGTGACTGACGCTCGTGCGCCCCACGTCGAGCTTGCATGGATTTACGCAGTATAATGGAGTTGAGTGTGCCAGTCGAGTGCCCACTACGTGGATAATGGAGAGTGGGAATTTTGGCTAAATGAGGCGCGCCCAAAAGTGAAAAGAAAAATACCGTCGCAATTACAGATATCCTTGAGCTTCCGTTCCACTTATTCTAATGAACTCTATTGAAATAGTGATCTCTATCGGCGATTTTGCTTGTCGGTTAATCCAAAATTTTCCTCATCTCATTTTCAGATTATTAAAAACAATATTCGACGAGAGTATCTATCAAAAAAATAGGAATGTAAACCGCGTACGCTTATCCAAAGAAGAATTTATTAAAAGACAGTTCTGCAGCCAATGGCGCAGTTGGTCGGAAGCTCAGCTCGCAAAATTTTTCAACATGTCTAAAAGTATAATAACGGATAACCGTGAGAACGTGAGCATGCGTCGAGTAATTTTAGCGAAGTTTCGCAAATGAACGATAAACTGCGTTAGACAGAAAAGGAGGCGGGCATGGACGAACGAAGTGAATTAAAGCGTGCGCAGAGAGAGAGAGAGAGAGAAAGTTTAGCGCGAAAGGGGGAAGCTAGAACACTGGACAAACTGGACGCGGCTCGTTGGCTCGAGCAGTTGGCCATACCGATTTATCGCCAGCCGTCTGCGTTACTGTTGGTTCTCGTTAAATTTTGTACTCGTGATTCGCGACGATTTTTAGATTCGTACTTCACTTAAAATTTGCATCTCGTTTTTATATTCTCCATTATTCAAGCTCAGTTGTAATTGACGAGTGATATTGTAGTTGCTTGGGTAGCTCAAGCCTACAATTTTTCGGTTCTAGCTTATTTCGTGAAATTGTTTATTGAATATTTCTATTTCTTAATATTGTTTAGTACTATATTCAGGATTAATAACTTTGTTCAAAAAATATTAGTGTACAAATTTCAAACGAATTGCAATGAAAATTGCAGAAACATCTTTGTCGAATATTTTCGACTTCTAATGTACTTCCAACTAAAATCATTTGAACTAGCTGAAGTTTATAATGATTTAGAAACAAGTGTAATGTTTAAAATAAGATGACGAGATCTGGACAGCGAAATGCTCTAGAACTCTACATTAAAAAAATATCCTCGAAAAAAGTATACATAGCCAGGCTCGTTGTGGTCGTTATGTTAACACGACGCGTGAATTTCACATCGCGTGCTGTGTGCACGTAGTGGTGTCGGTATCTCGCTACTCTCAGCGGCATCGAACAAGATACCACGGATAATGGGGGAGGGGCGAAAAAATGGATGAGTCAATGTAGCTTCAAAGAGGACTATCGAAAATTGGTAGCTTAATATAAGCAAAAAGTATAAGTGACCGAAGCTGACTGACTTCATTGTGACGATTGCTCATTTAAAATGAAACATGAATAATGATTGTGCTTTAACTTTGAAATTGTATATTGATTAATGTTGTATATGCTGATGAAGTTTCATGAATGATTTAGCTAAATCAAGATTTCAATGACAAAATCAGGAACGCGCGGCTAGCGGAAATAGAAAGGGAAAGTATACGACTGTCTAGAAAGGAAGAGGAAGAGTGGAGAGGGTGGTCGTTTCGCGCACCGGTCACTATGCTGGCTGGTCGACGCGCTTGCACGCGCACACACACACATACACGTACAGGCTAGCGTAGACCCTTCTTCGGTCTATGTAGGCAACCCCATGCAAAATCACCCTTTGTCCTCTCTGTCTCTTTCTCTCTCTCTCTCTCGCTCTCTCTTTCTCTCGTCGCTCGATGGGAAATTACTTTTTGTCCGTCGATTACGGGGTGAATTTTCGAGCGACGAGCCGATCGCGCGCGAACGCCCAGACGAGCCAGAGAAGGAGAAATTATCGAAAAGGGTTGTGTGATACACGTTGTTCCCATCCCCTTCCCTCACTCGTGCACCATGCGTGACCGATTCCCCGCAGCAACGAAACTGCTCGGAATTCACGGCTTTCTCGCTTGTTATTTTTACATGAGTTAGCCTATCCATTTTTTCTGCCTTTTTTTTTTACTTCGGGATGATGTTGATATTATTTGATTTTTAATATATATTTTTTGATTAAATAATATCTTGTTGAATAAAGATCAAACGCGTATTTATTTTCTCATATTCAATGATTTATTTTGACAAACTAATTAGCAAGCAATTTAATTATTTCTATATCATTGAACAGGGTTTCATTAGTAAAGGCAATAAAGTAATCATTGTAAATACTGATGTTCGCAAAGTCGAAGTACTGATAGGAATCAGAGTCCATCGCAGTTAGCAGCAGCACAAGCTGAAAAAATAAATTTGTATACATCGTTATTTTTTGTTTAAAATATTCGCTTTTTACAATATAATAATAAATATTTATTTCTTTACCTTTGTCAGGAGTATATATTCATCTAACACTGCTTAATTTCATTTTATGTCAATTTTACAATATTTTAAAAGAAATTTCAGGTATACAAGGACTTTCTATACAACCAGGAGGAAAATTGAACTTGATAGTTGTACTGGTTGAATTTTCACCTTCTCTAATATTCGTTGATTTCTCGAATAACTGATTTTTCTTTATAATGGGTACGCAATTAAATTTTGGATACTTTCCTCGTTCGTTATCCGAACCGCAATGTGTACCGCCTAATAATATGTTACGACGATAATGACCATATTCAACAAAATGTTTAGTTGTGGATTCTTTAAAATTTATAGGTTTGCCAATATTTTCATATATTTGCTTTTTAACATCTGATTTCACATTATTACTTACTAAAACTAATTTTGAAACTGTAATGTGCCACAAAGTAAATATCACAAAGAACAAAATTGAGTATTTGTTCATTCTTTTAAGGTTCAAAGAAGAATTCCATTGCAAGTGTAAAATGTGAAAATGCTATAAATAATAAGACGAGACAAAATAAGTGCCCGAATATATACTGTAACTCTCAAAAGAAGTTGGGAAGTTCGCATTAGATAATACTATGTTTTTTCCGAAAGATACGATTTATTTACTAATCATTCGGCTATAACGCATTTATTATTTTTTTTCATCGCGTAACTCAGTTAATATCGTTAGTGTCGTTAATGATACTGAAAACCGCTCAGACTACCAAGAATAAAGTCCGAACAAAAAACTTATCAGTTAAAAATATAAGTTTGGTAATCACTACGTACTTTCAAGATAATGTTATGTTGACGCAATGAATTGGTCGCTTCGATGTAATCTTTTGTTTCGTTACATAATTATCTAAATAATAAGTTTACTAAGTTTGCACTTATAATTTGTAGAGCGATGATTTCAGTAACACACGTTTTATAATTTAATTCACCCGAGGATACCTATAAGCGTTATAAACTACTTTTTTCATGCGGTGGCCATAATAAGATATAAATTTTAACTGATACTTTGACTTTATAAACATTTAATTAATTTATTTTCTGCATAGAAGTTGACAGAGATGTGTCTTAGTGTTCAAGCAATAATGAACCAATAATGTAAGTCATTATTAGCTGAAAATTATTAAGTCTACGATGGAGCAAGTTGGTTACGTTAATTATACTATTTTCGGTGAAATAATTTGTGTTTTTGACTCTTTAACCTTTATCTTATTTTTTTCACATACATATACTTTTTCTTTTTATTATAAATACGTTTATCTTAAAGTTGGCAATTCATTCAAAAATTCTCAAATTACTGTATTGCTGCGTATCGCGTTTCCAACCAATCTAGATCAATATTGTTTTTCTATAAAATCTTGTAATGAAATTAACGTTCCAATATTTTCCATAATTTCATAATGAATTTAGGTCGAACCAAGAAATTTAGTGCTTCGAATAACGCTTTTATTTATATTTTG